GGCCATATTTCTATTTCTTAATACAGGAATTGCCATGCTTCTCCATCTTCAAATAACCAATTTATTCCTCATAGTAAGTTAATTTGTACATTTGTCTTTTCCCTGGCAGTATCCTATGACTCATGATATTTAGAAAATAATTACTGCTGTGTGACAAAGAGCAAATTTCAAAAGACTAAAATTATACCTCTCCCCTCTCATCAACCCTGGAAGCACTCATTATACCTGAAAGCACTACCTAAAGACAAATTCTGGCCCAAAATGCTTGAGAAGAAGCAGTTTTTTCCGCAGCTGTCTCTCACAGAGCTTTCATTTCTTCTCACATTACACTTCACAGTTGCTTTACTCATTCCAAATAACGGCTAGATGTTTGCGAAGAGTGCTCTTATTTCCAAATTTAGTTTGCTTTTACGTTAAAATTAGTTTTATAATGCTGTCCAGTATCAGTGATTTACTTACCGTTTACTTACTATGTGCTTAGAACAGTGCTAAATGATACTGAATATAGCAAAAGGTCAGCATTTACCAAGTTGTATGACTCAACTTGTGAGCTTTCTGTGTACAAGAACAGCTTCCTACTTCACACGAATCCTCATACCATGTCTATGGCACAGATGACCTGATTAACTCAAAATCTGTTTCTTATGCTTTCTGTACTTAATAAGGTAACTAAATATTTGCCATAATTTTTTCCACCTGTACATTCCATTTCCTTCAGCCAATTTTTTTTTTTTTTAAAAAAAACTATTTTTGGCTTATTGAGGTTCAGATAAGCATTCTGACATTTTAGAAAAAATTGTTTTTATCATCTTCCTCTTCTTCTAACTTCTTCCAATCTTTTGCCAGATTAATCAAAACATATTTTTCAGTTCCCCTTCAATTCTCTTTATGCACAATAGAGATACATTCAAAACAAAAAAAAAAAGCAGCAGGTGAATTAACAGAATGAATTCAATGCCTAGAGTCCCTTAAAAGTATAAAAGTCTCAAACTATCTTTGTGGTTTTTCCACTGTTTTTACTACTAGAACAAAAA